CTTCCTTTCTTCCTTCCTTCCTTCTTTCCTTCCTTCCTTCCTTCCATCTTTCCTTTTTTCATCTCTTCAATCTTCCTTCCATTCTTCATTCCAACATGCATAGCAAACTCTTCTAGCTACCTGCCAACACATTGCATACCCTCTCATAATTGCCGGGTCAATGAATTTCAATAACTAAATGCTGAATTGTAACTAAATAATAAAAGATATTAAACAAATCACCCTAATAAAACCTTAAAATCTTAATGATCTTTACGAGTTTTCAATGATAGTTACTTGTAACGACGTTAACGTTGATTTTTTCGCTGACTCTTAAAACTTTATTTCAAGATGAGTCCACTGTAGAAAAGTATTTTGTCGGAATCCTGCGATTTGGGAAATAACGCGCAGTTAGCTGATCACATTTTGATCAGTTCATTTTATTTTATTTTTTATTGGTGTAAATTTACTTTTATTTTTTCTTTCTCTTTCATCATTTCATCTCCTTGAATAGCTTTTATAGACTTTCAATACATTTAACTCGAATTCTATTGTTTTCGGTTCGTAATCTGATTGGTTGACAACTCGAGTGTTCACGGGTTAGAGTAGAACGACAGTAAGATATTTTGTAATCTTAGCTTGTTTAAAGCAGGCATTGATCTTGCATTGAATTAACCACTAAAAGCCGACTTTTAATCTATCACAACGTAGCGAACAGAATTTGTTAGCCACTGTATAGTGTTGTACGTGTAGGCATGTTTTTGTTTAAATAGATGTTTTCGTTGACTTTTATTGTATGTTTGGTTTGAAATATGAAAACCCCTCAATCTTTCAGCTTTGGATATTCTGAAACAACCTGATCAAAGTCAGGACACGGTTTAATTACAGATTAAACTCTGAAACAACCTCTGTGCTGATCAAAGTCAGGGCATGACTAACTCACAGATAGAACCCTGAAACAACCTCTGTGCTGATCAAAGTCAGGGCACGGCTAACTCACAGATCAAACCCTGAAACAACCTCTGGGCTGATCTATTTCAGGGCACGGCTAACTCGGAAGGAACTGGAATTTAGCTTAGGACTGATCAATGTTGAGCTACAATAGGCTTTGGAATTTTACCAATATCCTTTTGTACCTATTTATTCCTAGTTCACGCTTATTTATGTTTGCAGCTGTATGCAAAGAGTCCATAGTTTGTTTATAAGCTTTCGCAAGCATCGGAAAGGAAGCTTGATGCAATTAAGCGCTACCTATTTTGTACATGACTGGTTTCACACAATACGACCACATGTTGGATGACAATAACGAGAACCGAATCACCACGCGAAAAAGTCAACACAGCGATCATACGTGAGGAGGCAAGCCAAAATATCAACATTAAAAGCTCATGGTTGGCTGATCCTAAGCCTCCAAGCGTAGCATCTTTATACTCTAAAGGATGTGAGGTTCAGTAACGGAAAAACAAGGGCAAACAGGACTAAAATTGCTTTTAACCTCATTGACAAGAGCTTACGATTGCCTTACAAGGCATCATAGATTGAAATGTTATTTTCTGTTTGATCAGTGTTAATTTTTTTCATTTTTTCCTTCTTTGAGCCCATGCAAACTGGGAATCTCTTAACTACGCTAAGGAAACATTACTCTGTCGTAGATTACTACCTCTTTTAGCTTGGTAGTCTTAAGCCCCGTTTACACTGGCGATTTTTGCGGCGATTTTTGCGGCGATTTTTGCGGCGATT